GGCGTGTAGGTTTTCCTATTAGTCTCCGTCAAATCGCAAATTAACCGGCTGAATATGTCATCAAAGCCTTCTTTGCCTTCGATTCGTCAGGAAATTTGGTAGGAGTCCCTTTTCCCGGCTGACTTGGATAGCAGAAGAGGATTTTTCGGCTGAGTGATGGCATTGAAAGAGGGGAGGAGTTTCGACTCTAGGCTGGAATGTAGCAACTCTGTGTAAAGAAACAGAGTGTTTGGCTATAATAGCCGCATTCAGCTTCATTAGGCCTCAATAATGGGTTTACTGCTGACAATTTCCGAATACAAATCTCATTAAGTTAAAGATCATGAATTACGATAATTCCAAATTAATTGTGTTCCTGTGGGATTCAAATAGGATTTAGGTGACCTTTCCCTTGTAGGTGACGTTAGGTTTAAATAGGCTGTTTTTCCGAGCATCGGTTACGTCACCAAACATCGGCATAGTAATCAAAATGTACCACAGCTACAGCTAAATAGCCCTGTGACAAAATGATACTGTTTCCATCGCGTTTCTTTTTTGAGGAGCACGCGACCAATTCTTTTATTATTAATTTTAACAGACCTACTGTTCATCTCCGATGAGGTTTTTTCTTGCGTGATATGATAGAGGTTGTCGCACTTTACCAATGCTGTACTCATTAGACAGTCATAATAGGTTAAACCTTATTGTTCTCTGTTTAAATGACTTGGTAAGGAATCTACTTTTATCAAAGAAATACATTTACAACTAAATAGTGTCACTTGTTTAACAAATATATTATATTATTAATATCTATCTGTCGTGTTATGAAATCTAACTTATGTCTTATAGCCTACACTTTTTTTGTGAAATTTGTTCAATAGGTTTAGGTTTGAAACGTATTTATTATAAAAAGTGAGGTTATTCCAGTGAACACCAACCTGTCAATATTGTTACTATGAACCAGTCATATTGGTGAGGCTACATAATAGCGTCAATTCGGATCTGTGGAGTAGCCTAGTGGCTAAAGTGTTCGCTTGTCATGCCGCAGCCTGGGTTCTATTCCCCACAATGTTCGAAGCCCATTTCTTGGGTCACCTGCCCTGGTATTCATGGAATACTAGTTTTACTAATGGCGGCATAAAACCATTCTCAATCAATCAATGGAGTGATTTCGCTTACTATCTATGACTGCATGTACCGTGGTGCCTCCGTGGTCTAACGGATAGAGTGGCTGCCTAGAGAGTGGAATGTTGGTGGTTTGATCCCCAGCTGAGTCCAACAGACGATAAAAGGTGGTACTTGTACTTGTTGTTACCCTGCCTGACGCTCGGTAATGGGTGATAAAACCTGGACTGGTCGGCTCGAAGTCAGAATACGGTGTCCCATCCCGGTGTGCAGCTGACATTCCCAGAAATCGTGATCAGCTCGAATATGGCTCGAACCCAAGATCAGCGGATCCTTCTTCGACCAAGTTTCACAACTCCGCATGGCCAATTGCGGCGTCATATATACCAGTGGGTCCACCCGTTCTCCAGACATTTACCTCTCAGTGGATCATGCGATCATAGGCATAATGATGACAAACAAAGGATCTAAACTTTTAGACAGATATATTTCATAAAACGTGAGTTGTATTGGAACAACATGAATCATATATACGTCCAACATCTGTCACTTTGTCCGAAGCCAAGTCCCCCTTGACGATAGCACCCCTGAATGCGACGCTAACAAGATGACAAGAGTTGTTTGGCTCTAACCTGTGTTGTCTTATCAAAGGACAGGGCATGATTAGGAGACCATTTAGTCCACGGCATAATTTTAGAAACGACTTTTGTTAAACATTTACGAAAGTAATCAGATATGTTCACGTGAATGAGAATTTGAATTTGTTTCTGTCAGTGCTATCTCCTGTTAAGTCATATTTGTGTTCTTAATCATGCCAGAAGTACAAAAGCTGCAAATGAAAGAAAGGAAAAGGTCAAGTTATCATCCTTTTGAACGTGCCTGATCAGTTTTATACCAATATTACAAAGATTTCGTACCATTGATATAAAGCTTTCATCCAAAACTACAAAGTTTTCCGTAACTTTTGACACTTTTAGTGCCCCAAGAAAAATCTTTACCGGTCCTCGTCCTCTCATAGATTAGAACATCACTCCCCATCAAACACTAATCTCATAACGTATGATGTCTAGACACCCCGGTCTAGTCACGGTATGCAACGCAACAAGATCGTGACACCTCCCCCGACACCCCAACCTTCTACATCAGTGCTGGCTAGCCTGGATAAAGCATATTCATTCTTCACTGAGCCCCTTCAAGTGAATCCTCATCCGTTAAAAACCCAGCCAGAGCCATAGCCGCATTATACCAGTGAGAATTATCATCTAAATGTTTTAAATGGAAAAAGTCTTGTAATTATGTTAAATTACTGGAAGAGGCTGAATGATATTCAAAGAGCAGCCTTAAGCTACAAAGATGAGAGTCCAGGCTACATTTGATTTGTGGTCACGCGAGTCTAATTTAGAGGTAATTGTCCCTGTTTGTCCAGTTGAGGGTGGAGATTGTATTGGTTGAGTGGCGAGCGGCGGGACCAACCCTAGCTCTATTATTGAGCGTGGAAAGCAAATGACAATGAACTTCTTTCCCCAACTGTAACGTGAACACATGTCCATCTGTTTGCCTCGAGATAAAGCGTTCACTCGGTGGAATAAGTACTGTCTCTTCCATGAGTGTCACATTCTTAGCGCGTCACCTGGTTACTGCTGCTAACGGGGAAGACCAGAGTTGCTTACAATGTAACCACGTTAATCCGGACGGTACCCTTCAAACTGAATTCGCCCGGATTGCCAAATTAACAAATCATTTAGTAATACCTTTTACCCTAACCATAACCCTTTTAATTTAATCGCCGGGAAAGCGGGGTGTCCGGTCTAAAGGGGTCCGGACTTACGAGGTTCCACAGTATTTACGAAGTCAGTATTTGTCACGGGTGGAACTGCAGTCAGCTGATCGAGGGTTTGTATCCCAGATTTGCCAAGATTACGGTCAGTGGTCGGACCATATCGTTACACGTTGGTTTCTAGACAGTAGTCTACAACCGGTGTCATTTCGGGATTTCCTCCCATATTAAGCTGGCACGCCATTATATAATTGAAATAATGTTCGTTTCGGCTTCAAATGAACTCGGTAACTCATTCTAATACAAAATATTCTTAAATTAAAGATAATCTAAAATGCTATCAATGTGGTGGCAAATTTCAATTTAATCAATTTAATTGCATGTTCGTGTGAATTTTTTAAGAATAGAGACAAAAAAACTAGAAAAGCTAAGTCACCAGGGGCTCACAGAAACATATATTGGGCACACGTTAGGTGTAATAGATTGATGGTGATTATCTGGGTATAAATTGACTTAATAATCAAATACTAAAGATTTAAATCTTCTATATAATTTGAGAAGCTCACGTGACACATGGCACGATGCAGCATTCACTGTCAAGACCTTGATCAGAAATGCCTACAAAGTCGGTACCCTCAATTCTAACTTAATGGCTAGTGTGTTACACAAGGCTACACAAGTATACTGTATACTGAATCCGAACTGTAGTTAACCATAATGCGTAAAATATGAAACACAATTCTTTTCAATTTACAAATCTGAGTTTCCTTATTGGTGTATAAACTCACGCGGAATACACATATCAAGAAGAAAAAGAACATCTCACAGAACCATATCTTTCACGGTAGGTTAACAAATTATGCTTTACAAGATTTGACGTGAACCATTTACGAGCAACTTTACCCATTACCTACAAGCCAACTGGAAATAATAAGTTAAGAGATTTTCCGCGCTGTTGGCAACAAAAGAATAGGAGCCAGAACATTGCCCTGCGGTCCACCACTCACCACAGTTTAACTCGTTACTCCAATCCGCTTGAATAATACGCTTTACAAACAAACCACCAGACACTGTCTGTTAAAGGTATTACTTAAACCATATTTCCTAAATACCGTCTGTGAAATGTCTCTCTATGGCCAAATGTCAGTGGGGCGTTAACAACCTTACATATGTACGAACAGTTCAATGCTACGTTGGTCTCACTGTAGGAAGTCGATTGAGCGACTGTGTAAAATGTGACAAGAATTGTAACCAAACTGTCAGACAAAAGAATGTACATATACACTTTAAAATCGATTTGACCAAATAATGTTATCGAATCCTTACTAGGCTGAAATCAGTTGCTGAAAGACGGCAAACTTAGGGTCAAAACCAGGGGTCCGGAAAATTTAAAATCCCAATCGGACATTTACATTTATGCCACGCCCCCTTCAAACAGCGTGTTTTAGTACGACTTTTTACACACAAATTACAAGTTGTTACGTATTCATAATATGATGAATTATGAATTGTTTCAATTAAAATTGTTTAATTCACCGGACAATTAATAACAAATAATATCATTTTAGATATATATGGAAAACATACGTTTGTTTCTGTTATAATAACGATCTGTCAACGTTGTGAACGGTCTAATTAATATTCATGAGTCTGCTCAAGTGTACGCGTTGTAACATTTGACTCAAAACCACATCACCGTCGAATAACCATTTGTTTTTGTGTTAAATGTTTAGACACCATCAAACACGGCTGTGTACTTTCTTTTCCCCGACAGTTTATGTTTGACTCGTGCAGGGTTTGACATAAACGGGCAAAATAAACTAACATTTAAAGAACTATGGTAATTACTTAACCCTGTTCAAGATTTACTAAGGCCGAACAGTCAATGCTTTTGTAATACACCAGTACACTACTCTTTAAAAGAAAGAAAGAGGAGATATGAACTGTGTGTTCCTATAAAGGTGAAAAAAAGGGAGAGAAGAAAACATATGAGCACGATATTTTTGCGTTTGAATAATTTTCGTTACCAGGTACTCATCACCATGGATAATCTGTAAGCTTAGACATACAGTGTATGAATAATGACAAACCATTAGATATACACATATTACAACATCATTTATTGAACAGATACTGGAAAATCCGTCTCATCGACAGACTATTGCACAAAGTCCAGATATGTTTATATAAATATTATTCACAGAAAAAAAACAACTTCAAAGCTCTACATAGCACTGTACATGGCCAACACAACACATCAAGTTTAGATTCGTATGAAAATAGTCAAAAGGATTTCAATATTCACAATAGCGATGTGGTTTGTCTCTTGGTCAATGATTAACAACGTGTCTTTCACAACTAGCGATTTGCGATCTTGTTTATTCATACGGCCCCATCACTGTCTCTCATCTGATTCAGATTTGAAAAGCATTTCTGCATCTTCAAAAAATATGTCCCAATGGAAAATGAAAACACACGTGGGGGCACGACGTTCCTAATGTTTGCAAATAACTACCGTTCACTCGGCTAATATCAATCTCACATTTTGTAGTTTGTGGAATACGCCAAGAGGATTCGGGTGTCGTTCTGACCATTCGTCATTATTTGCTTCTTTCTGTAACTTGCCAAACGATGTTCGGCTTCTCCCGGAATGACATGTGTTGATCAAGAATGCGTTGGCATTCCATCTTGCTTCCGGATATCACAAAGGGGGATAACTCCCATTTGCACTCAACATAATGCTGTTCCCAAAACGTTTTGTGATATATTATGATGCCGAAGTAGAAGGATGTTCAATATCTGTATCCACAACATTTATTTCTTCCGTATCTTCGTTATCTGAGCATGCGCAGTCCTTGTAACTAGTAACAGGTGTATCACTTTCAAGATGGCCGCTATCTGATCGGTCATCTCCTACGTCAGAGTGGCTGTCTGATTGGTTGTTTTTGTCGCTTGTGTTAGAGGGGTCGCTGTCATCTTGTGTTTTGCGTTGCAATTTCTTTTGTTTCATTCTTCGATTTTGAAACCATGTCTTCACCTGAAAGTAAGTAAGAGACATTAAAACCAAAGAATACAACTTGATGCTTCTTCCTCGAACTGAACATTAATGAACATATGGATAATATTTTCAGTAAACTACGGTTATACCGAACTAAAAGGGACCACTAATTTTAGTTCGTTATAACCGTAGTTCGTTATAAGCATATATATATATATACAGCATATATACAGCAAATGGACGGGACCAAAAAGAGTTCGTTATATCCGCAAGTTCGTCATAAGCGTGTTCGTTATAAACGTAGTTTACTGTACATGGCAATACCCAACTCAATTGTCAACGCAAACAGGTGGGGTTCCATTAACACGCAAAGCTTCACATTACAAACACATATCAGAGGTCAACTCGGCGAGTGCAAGGTCGCACATGCTAATAATGCACACGTATGATACACGTAATGAAACAAATTAACCTTTATTCTAATTACAAAATGAAAAGACTATCATAGTGACAATCCGTTTCATATCATCATAAAGCACGTGTTTGAAACAACTATAGCACTTGTAATCAAAGGCTGCTAAGTACCGTTATGTTCCGAGAACCTGAAGATGCATGTTCTGTCTCACTCATGATCAACACGAACCCGTGGAAGTTACTTGTACATAACTCAACGGTAAAGGAATTCCCCGTTGCAGCGCCATCATATGATTCTATCTTATCTTGAATATAGCAATCCAATTCACACCTCTACTCGCTGGTACACCACTTATCTTCAAGTGATGTGATACATTTATCTCAATGTTTATGTCGGCGTCTTTATTGGTTAATCCGGCTATCCATATAACTTTGGAGCCACTTAAATATCAACCATGTTGCTATCCAATTATCGCTTTGCCTTCTTCAAGCAATCTTCACCATCTAATGACTCCTTCAACTTCACCGAACGATGCGTAAGTATGGTTATATCGTTACCGTATAATTGCTGAGATAAGAGCTCTCCAACCATTTGTAAGCAGCTTCTTAAGCCATTAAGAGGGACTGAGATGTGCTTTACTTCGGCTTAATATCCGGCGCCGGATACATTAAGCGATAAGTTGGGATTAGCAAAACATTATATTATCTAATTTGGGTGGTTGACAATATGTTTTAGATTAAATGATGTGATAACCAACAATTTCTTTCGAGACATGGTCGACATTTCTTTGGTATAAATTAGCTTAATTGGACAGTTCAAATTTGGTACAGGTCTTCAGGACTAGTTTGATGAATGTCACTTGAAATAATTATATTTTTTAATAACAGTTGGGTTTTCATGCAAATTGCGATAAAAGGCATATGCACTTCAGAGGATTTATTGATGCAGTAGAAATTGATTGTTTCCGGACGAACCTGATCCCCTTGAATTAAGTACAAGTCAGCCGATATCAAACTTTCTGTCCACTACTTTGAACGGCGATAGTTCTGACCCACTTATATAACTAAACAGGGAGAGTTATTTTATTAACGTGTCACGTGTTACAAAAGAACGATATATGCATGTTCTTTGGCATATTAAAAAGTAACACCCAGCCATTAGGCTTATGAGACACAATAAAACATTATATACATTATATACTATAAAATACATTGACAATAAAATTTACATGTCTAGCTAAATGCCAAGCTAAATGATTGCTTACGTTTAAACATCTTTAAAAGTGTATTGGCTAACAAAGGCTGAATTTCTTTACATTTTAAAATATAAATGAAAGCGTCATCAACGCTAATATTTTCAAATAACGGATTTAAAACAATACATTCTCTAAGCAAAATACTTCTAAGATCATCATATAAAGGACATAACATTAAAAAGTGAAATTCATCTTCGTGAAACTTTTGATGAACAAATTTAAAACAGTGCGGGCAGATTCTATTTTCTTAAAGGGTTGGTGGAGTTGTAAAACGTCCTGTTTCGATAGCCAGGGGTAAAGATGCAGATCTAAAACTAGCTAAAATGCGCTGTGGTTCCCTGTATTTAATACTTAAAACATAAGGAGCAACACGTTACTAAACAATTACTTCATAAAATGTCTTTTCAAGATTCATCCTATTTTTCTTAAATGTATTCTATGAGACCCAAAACAGTATTCATAACGTTTGAACTTGGAAAAAACGAAAAGGGATAATTCTGATCTTAAAAAATCAACTGTCTTTAATCATTTCTCAAAATAAAATAGATGCATTTCGTTAATATCAAGCATACCTTTTCCAAAAAGAATGAAGGATGTATTTTTAAAACCATGTACCTGTCAAATATGATTTGACTAATCAACTGTCAATTTATACATCTGGATGAAGTTCGTTCCTTGAATATCAGACATATTTGGTGGTGGTGGGGGGCAAAAATATCAGTTTTCAAATGGATGCATCTGCCAAATTCGACTTCCCCGTCCAACATCAATTCATACATATCTAGGGACAAAAAATGTCATCCTACCTGTGTCTCTGACAGACTGAGTTGAGAGGCTAATTCCATTCTCTCAGGGGTGGAGAGGTACCGTTGGGCTTCGAACCTCTTCTCTAACCCATTCAACTGCTGGTCGCTAAACACGGTCCGGGCCTTCCTCCTGCGGCAGTGTTTCCCTGGGCTGTCGTGTTGAAACAGCGGGGTTAGCGGGAGACCTTCAAAAACAAGGGAGATAATAAGTTTTGGTTGTGTGATATTGTAAGTGAGAAGGGTTGTAATGCTCTACCAGAAATTCAGTTCTACTAGCATTAAGCGAACTTAATTCTGTCCTAACTACCTTATCCCCCACAAGGACAGTTTGTACTGTAACTGACACGTTCGTGAAGAATTTTGAGTTTTTATCATATAAATGGGGACTGTCCAATCGTCTAGTTCCCATTTCAGTTTAGGTTCGGAAACACGTGAAACTGAGATATTGACTTTGTGTTATTGTGGTGATTATAAACTGTTAAAATAATAAACGAGACAAATTATTAGTATACAGCCAAATAGGTTCTTAAGAGTCTTGTATAAAACATGGACTGCATATTAGCCCGACTCTGTAGCTAATTACAGTTAAATCATATTTATTTCGCCTTACCATGACATCATGCTACCGAAATAAATATTTAGTTACGATTGTTATTAAATTAGATAATGAATATTTACCTAACTCATTTTAAAACTGTCTATTATCATAATTATTATTATTATTATTGTTTTTGTTGTTGTGGTTAATAATAATATTATTGTTGTTGTTGTTATTATTATTATAATTATCGTTGTTTATTTCTCACCAGGGAAACCTTCCTACTTGTATTACTAGCGTCCTGTAATCTGTATTAATGTTGGCTGTGAAAACATTGCTAGACATTGCTCTGACAACCTTATATCTGTAAGTGTATATATCCATAAGGAATGTCAAGAAAATAATTCCCGAACGCCAGCAATCATACAAGAACTAAGGAACATGGACATAACCAAATTTGAAGATCAAACTTCAATATTTATTTACGCATATCTTAATAATAACCTGAGATGCTGATACGAATCTCTTTGACAGCTTATACAAAAGGATCAGTGAGGCTTCACTACAAATTAACGGGATCAGTGCTGAACATGATTTCCCATAATGCAACGCAGGCGCCGACTAAATGATTACGTTTTGGTCACCGTTCAGTCTTGTTAATTGCACTTTACAAGACGCGGGTCAGATAAAGCCAACACGTTGCACAGGTAATTCTCCGCCAATTAGGCCGAGTTCAAAGTACGTGCGCTACCTGTCCTTTGTTTGTACATCATGGCCTAACTATTGTTGTTTGGTGTAACCGCCATATGACAGGTACTTCATATCATTCCGTCATTGGCTTTATAAGCTGATAACATTTGATAAATTATTATTAGAAACTTCTTGAATAATATTTATCGATTGACAAGTTTATAATGAAAATTGGTACTATAGGAATTTTCTTTATCCTGTGGCCATTTATTTATTTATTTATTTATTTATTTATTTATTTATTTATTTATTTATTTATTTATTTATTTATTTATTTATTTATTTATTTATTTATTTATTTATTTTATTTATTTTCCGAATATTCTTATGGTCCGAACATTTTAACAAAAGGAGAAAAGACAAGTAAATGCAGCTCTTTTAAATATCAATATTCAAACTGTTAATCTATAACTTTTGACCCTAAATTGCCAATCAAAAAAACATACGGCAGCCTAAACGTTGACTTTCATGCGTTGTAAATAGAAATATTAAAAAAATTATATCGTCACTAAAATCTTTCAGCAATATTTGACATGTCCTTCCCTTGCGATGGTAGTTCCTCGAACAGTTTCTCTGGTGCCACTGACGGCTAAACCATGGAATGTATCGATCTTCAGTCCTGCTCTGTAAACTTTATGGACTTTCTCCCATTGAAGTCAACAAACATTTTAAATAACTGTCTTCTTAAATCATTACTTTGTTTTCCTCCTCGGCAAAACAGTAACGTAACTGCGTATGTATGATAGATATGTCCTATATATTTGTTGTTTTGTTTATTTTGGAATAACACAGATACATCACATGAAACGATATATCATTTCTGGGAGAACAAGTATTTTCTAAAAACACTGTTTACATATTTCGGTTTTTGTATTTATACCCTTCTGTACCCTAATATTATATAAACAGTGAAACTATGAAATTCATATTCAGTGTTTTCATAAAATTATTAAAGAAACGAAATATCTTTTAAAAATAGAAGTCCGTTTTAAATATACTCAAATATATGTTTTAGTGTCAAAATACACACATCCGCACCATCATAAACATTGAGCGGATAATGCATTTAACAATTTCTGTAAAAATGAAAAAAGAATATTTGTATAACGGTACTTACTGGAAGTCGGGATGAGGAAGGCTGGGTGGTCTGGGTGCTTGGGGATGAGCCCTGCCCCGTGGGCCAGGAACGGGTGGGTGTAGAAGGCGGGGGTCCCGGGGAGACACGCATACCCGTACTCTGGGAATGCCGACCGCAGTCCAGTCACCGCCGTGAAGTCGCGAGGCAGTTGTTTAGGTTTGTTGAGGAGGATGTCGTCTATGAAGAACGATGTTGATCTACTTGTGTGAGGCTCGGTGAAAGAAGACATTGTCATGCTAAGTCCTGGTACGTTTTTCTGAAAACAAAACAAGACAAATAATATTAATTGCACGAACAAGACTTCATATTTTGTTGGGTTTTTTCAACCGTATAAACATCTTACTTCCGTATGACATGACAAAGCATTATATATATCACATTATTCAAAACCTTAAAAAGTTTTTTTGATTATATCAAAAACCATCCGTGCCAAGAAATACACACAAACATTACACAAAATAATTTGCCAACGTATGAAATCATTTTTTATAAATAATACTAACTTGAAAAGGTAATAAGTAAAAAAGATCAAATATTAATGTTTCTGGGTTGAAAGTCCTTCAAATGAATAAGGTTATGAAACTGAATTTGATCAACTTCAAAGCAACAGCTTTAAAAATGTTAAATTGAAAATACATAGAGAAATCGGTATCTTTTAGAAGTTAAATCACCATATCAGTGTCAAATTCTAACAAAAACGACCAACTCTCCCCAAACTCACAAACATCTCCTATTCCTGCCCAGATTACCTCGTATGTGCGCCCACGTGCCTTCTCGGGAGAATACCATTTACCCTCCCTAGATAGCTTTAAAAGTGTTAGCCAAACAATCGAACATGAGATTGTATCAGTCCGCCGATGCCTATTCGCCGTCACCCCAAGTGGTAATTTGGTTTATACTTCCGCACGAAAATCCTTTGGACTAATTCGGCCAAATTACTGTGATTTGTCGTTGCCTAATTAACATAGCGCGAGCAGCGGTTGGGCCATGTCAATGCTGCCGCTCTCGCCTTGAATCGCTTGAGGACTTGGGCTCGGTGGATGAGATGGACAAACCGGGAACATATCTCATAATCATTAAGTGATCTTTTTTCCACGGTGATGTCTAAGACAAACGTCTTTCATGTTAAATACCTGTGTTTTAAACAACACGGCGTGGTTCTGTTGATCGAGAGATCAGATACCAGCCTGTTTCAACAAAGTGGCAATGTTGTAGATATAATATTAATCCTGTTCATCATTTTATACGTATCACAATACATAATTGTAGCACCTCCATTTCAATAGGATAGGAGAGACAAGACAGATAACTTTATTTACTTTTCTGGCACAAACACATACACACACATATTTTCGTTACTTGGCAGCAGGCAGATTATTTACAACTGACAACAATTTACAGCAATTAAATGTATATACTGTTTAACCCACAAGGCTTATGTTTGCGTTATGATTGAACAACCTTAGACCATTTATTGAACATACTATTTTTGTACTATTTAACAGACTGTGAAATCTTAACACATTTGGTTTATTATAATAACATCTAGGCAAGAAATCAGTTCCATAGCTGTAAAAATAATTACAATTGAAGAGTGCATGAAATTTATCAACAGCGTCGCTACTATCACGTAAATTACATTTTCTTTCAATAAACGGCGCTTGGGTCCAACGAACCACCTGTATTTATACAACACCTGGATCATATCTTATATACATAATGGGATTTGTCAAGAACTTATTAATTCTTTACAGTTGTAATTCTACCTGAATTAACAGGGGACAGGTGGGGTTCGCTACTTCCCCTACCCGACAAACCGGGCCAACCCCTATCTACACCCTACATCCGATTATCTTCATATTAAAAGTAATAATATGAAAAGTTTTAGGATCTGTTAGGAACTATTGCATGTTCCGCTATTCTTGCAACTTTATTTTATCATAAGTGTGTTGCATGCCTACCAAGATGGACCCTTCGCCATTCAAATGTGTATAATTAATAGCATTATGCAGTGTTGAAGGCTGGGGCTGTGGTTTGAATAAACGACATTTCTCCAACGATTCCATATTCTGGTAGCCTGACTACTGAACAGAAGCCCTCAGACCTGTTAAACATGCATTGGGCAGTTGTCCACCGGTTTTGTGATTTTTATCGCAAATGTTATTACGAGATTTGACTGGATGCGACTCAAAGATTGCCTTTTGTGCAGCATTAAGATTCACGACACTCCATCTCCCGCCGTTCGGTAATTCGTCAAATTCGGCAGCCAGGAAGCACGAAATGATTTAATCAATTATGGAATTAGACGTCGTGATTTCATGGACTAACTGGCTTTAACCATCCCCATCGCAGTGTCGACGTTTCGTGTGTGTTATTCCCCACACCCAACACTATGCCAAGACGCCACGATCACCCAGCTATTATGCCAATTATAACTATAAACAACCCCACTTGCCACGCTACTTGGACGAACGCTCTTCTCGTCTCAAGGGGGACTTTTTTTGCCCCGTTCGTCTGATTTTTGACCGAAACGCATTAGCCATGTGAGCACAGAGCATTACCCGACAGCTCCGATCACCTCTGAGGCCAGTTAGAGAAATCACTAGCTAATTTGGCCCTAATGACGATGCGTGGTGTGAATTCTTTACTTAGCAAAACGGATGAGACTGTAATTTAATGAACGCTCGTGAATTTGATTCCCTTTTCCCCAATCAAAGCCTAAATGAAGGAGCCTTTTGTTGTTGCTTGGCCGTTTCTTATGTGACTCCTACTTCATTAGGCAAACTCCAAGTGCAAAGCGGAGATTTTATAGTCATCAATTGTAACCTTTTTCCAAGGCATGGGTACTTCTGAATACTGAGTCACTAGTTATGGTTATCTGTGCCTAGTTAGCCTCTACGGTTGCCTCCTAATTAGATAGTACCTGTCATTATACCTGACCATAGAGCATAGAACCGCTATTGTATACCTTCCGTCTTGTAACTGATGCTGTCTCCTTATCTTCTTCAGGTGATGGAAACATTTTGCTTTTGGCTGCCTCTGCAGCTTAAGCATTTGGAAATAGTTATTGTTTTTCGATGTGAAACAGTGAGAATTGGTCCGTATTGAGAAAATGATATCGTTATGTTAGATTATCAATACGCGTGTTAATCCGTGGAAACTAATAATTTTAATTAATCTGAATTAAACATTAAGATCGCTGAAAAAGTTATACAGTTTTACCTATTTATCATTTACGAACGCCGGAACGGTTTTGTTGATGGGAGACAAAAGTTCGTCCTGTTGAACGCTACTCAAGATCTAGTTTTTAAGATGGATAAATTGTCATTTTTTACGATGAAGGTTCTTCAAAGATCGCCTAACTAATAATTTTCTGCATTTTTGAACCTTTAATTCTCACTTATCATTAAACAACGAAATGAAAGAACTGTTATTTTGTTATTAGTCCTGCTACGCCCATCAGCAGGGTGATCACTGGCATTTAGCATCAGAACGTTTACAATGAAAATCAATAAGTCTTTATGCAGCAAAGAAAAGACCCCTGCGCGTGGTTTATCATCAAAGTACAATTATGTGATATTTAGGAGGATTACCTTATGATTACACCGCGTTTCTACTTCCCGCCCCTCCCCCTTGTCCCTGTCCCTCCCCCTCTCCCCTGCTAGCAGGCATATAAACCCCATGAAAATGCCGTCCATTTGACAAATTACCCGTCACAACCATGGTAAATGTTAGGGCCTGGGAGGCACTAGAAATGTTGGCTGGCAACAATAAGCAAATACCCTCAAACCGGATAAAATGCTGTTCAGTAATGCGACAAAAATTGCCGCAAAACGTCGTGCATATTCTGAGTTGAGGCAGGAAATAAGCTAATAAGGCCCTTTGCAATAACTAAATGCATCCAGCGATGGGACATGCCTCGCCACATTTCGCTCTTTCCTCTTCAGCCCTGGAAATTAAATAAAATCTGAGGTCTAATAGCTGTAATTGGTCTATTTCCAAGCTATTTACGTCATTGGCCATCTTTGCTCCCCACTAGCGACGTCAGGCGCATCAACCCCAGTCCAAAGGAGACCTGATTCTTCCGCCAATCACCTTTTTAATGGATGTTTGGTGCCGGATGCTAAGGACTGGGGTGGGATCGTGCATCCATTTTAACAACGTAAAGGTGGCCTATTATCCCGCTATTTGAGCCTCGTTCTGAGGCTATTCCAACCTGACTATTTAATGACTCCTGACGGCCAGCCTCGGAATCGTGCATAATGACTGATAATTGTAGTAATTACCTACAAGAAAAAACACATCAAAGTATTTAGATCTGAACGCCAAATCTCGTGTAATAAGCGGGCAAAGATGATGTAGTTTGTAAAAGCGACGTCTTCGACAAAGCAGAAAATATCACTCCCTGGTCAAACAGCGAAAAAACATCTCCGATCCTTTTAGCCTGGTAATGACGGCAATAGCTGCTGATTGAGGTTAAAGTTAGGTGAGATTTGCAACATAAATCACACCTTTTCGTGCATAACAACCTCGGTAACTTACGAACCTCGACCACTCACGGCCCTGACATATTGAATGTTACCGTGGTGAAATAGCGTTGTGAAATGACGGTGTTTTTGCGTCACTGTTAAGCTAAGATCTGAGGCGGCATGTGGGAAAGTGCTAATGTACGAAAATTACAGGGATTTGCTGTAAAATTAAAATATCTCTTCACAACTATTTCAACTATTTACTGTGATGAAAGGACTTGACGTTTTCCAGTAATTTGTGAAACCATCCCTTTTAAAATCCATTAGAATTACATGTGCGTAATGCACATTGTAATTGCGAAACGAAACAGCTTAAACATCATTTTATATGTATTAGGAATGTTGACAATACTATGTGTGGATGGCTCTGAGAAAAATATCCCATGGAATATGTCAAAACCATTAATACAAAGCTTCAGGGAATAATTTACTCTACAAACAAAACAGATCCTGTCTATCCTGATGTTATTCACCATTGTTAGTAGTAAACATGCTTCAAAACAATTAATACGTGTTTCTCAACGACAGATCTTAGAAGTTTACGTATCTCGGTCGTTTAAAGGCGGAAAAATAATTTTAACGAAATATAGATAAATAATATGTAAATTCTATTAAAAGAATGAAATGAAGAAATAATGAGTAGTGTGCTTTTGAAACAATGTATTAATATCAAAAGCTATCCAGCGGTTGGAAATATTTCGTTAATCTTTGAGTCTCAGATACAACCATTTTCAGTACAAGACTATCGATTTTCCCCTTGCCAGATAACAAGCTGACATAAATATAGAATTGCCGTTGCCTTGTTATTTGTATAGATCATGTTCTTTTTAACACAAGGTGTGTGTATCGTGAAGAAGATCGCCGTATAATAGCAATGAAAACGAAGTGATTGAGGTCAGCGCTAACATATACTTCATGTGAAAAGAGGCTGTTGATGAGGCTGGTAGGCTATACTGTCAAAGGACATATTAGTGAAATCTACGAATTCAGTTTTTTATTTATATTTTTTTTGTAGGCTTTAATTTCCCGATTAAATACAAAATATTTCAGCGTATTTCATCATTTTGTACTTGCTCAGTATCATATTAGGTAAATGTCGCATACAAAATATTATTTTAAAACAAGTTTAAGTAGTAAACAAATATGACCGGAATACACAGACTGGGTTTTGGGGAAGTGTACACACCGGGCCAGTCATGGAAGCAGTTTCATGGATTATAGGTAAATAACAGTTATGGATTATAGTTAACTAACAGTTAATGGGTAGTTTAGTTTTCTTCTACAGTAGGACTTTGCCTGACATCAAACCTTTTCATGCAATTGTAAATGTCGACC